AATACATAAAGAATAGTGTGGTACGTATGTAAATTTCTCTAATATTTTTAATGAATATCGAGTATGTAGGAAAGGGTTCTCTCAAAGCCCGGGTTGTAGGCCACTTTTAAAGGATGGTTGTTTGCCTTCCTTGGCATTCCATCGCTAACCGCCCGATGGAGCCACCCACAGCCGCCACCATTGTTGTCCACCGCGAGTCTTCAGCCATCTGGTGCCGCCACAGTCCGTCATCCGGCCTCCATCATCAACCACCATCCGTCGTCCAGCCATCTATCAGTGACTAAATGGTTTTTAAAGTAAAAAATTAAATTTAGGTGTAGAGATAATTGTACTCGATATTCATTAAAAATATTAGCAAAATTCACAAGTGTCACACTATTCTTTATGTATTTTTATATCTACACCTAAATTTTCTCTCCAACCACATTTAGCTACTAGTTCATCTTGGGAAGTTATCCTCTCTCTCGCATCTCAATTCCCTGGAACTCCCAAACTCCAACATGAATAGAGATGAAGTGCAGTGCCCACAACTGCTGGATGAGAAGGGAGAGATTCTATGTTTTTTTTTTTTTAATTTTGGAACAAAAACGAGAAGGGGACAACAAAAGATTTAGTAAGGTGAAACAGTTATAAAAGCATTACATTAATCACTGGCCTCCTCAAAAATTTAATTATTTTAAGTGCGACAATTCATTACGTGCATGAAAGTTTATTTTAAGTGCGACAATTCATTACGTGCATGAAATGAATTCAAAAAGCATCAAAGCCGCAATCATTATGGCAAATTTGGACCTAGGGGTGTAAACGAGCCAAGCACGAGCGAGCCCAGGCTCAACTCGTGTTCGCACCTAGGGGTGTAAACGAGCCAAGCACGAGCGAGCCGAGGCTCAACTCGTGTTCGCCTCGTTTATATTTCGAACTCAAAAAGTGTTTTCGTGTTCGGCTCGTTTGCTTAGTGATCCAAACACGAGTTGTTCACGAACAAAAAATCATTTTGACAACTCTAATCAAATAGCCATAAAATATTAAGGGTTGGGGCAAGATTTAAAAATTATTGTTTATATTAAAACATCAGTTGAATCTAATTTAATAATTTTGATTCTATTTTCTTAATTAATACTTTTTTATTATAAATCTTTGTAGTCTTATAGTCAATTAATTTTTTTTTAAATAGTACTCATCAATATATATATATATATATATATATAAATATAAATATAATTGATGAGTAGTATTTCGAGCCAAAAAGAGCTAAACACGAACGAACAAATCTTGTTCGTATTCGGCTCGTTACAAACACGAACGAACAAATCTTGTTCGTATTCGGCTCATTACCTTAGCAAACGAGTCGAAAACGAGCTGTTCGCGAACAACGAGCCGTTTTGACAGCCCTACCTAGACCGCTTTGTTTTTAATTCCATTTATCCTCTTTCTTTTCACACTTTGGATCGTATTCTTATTTTTTATTAATAAATCTGGGTTTGAATTTTATTTTCCTAGAAAAACTCACATGCATAATCTAACCAATCTGATACGTGGTCAAATGATTCAAATTGTATATCAATGCATAACTGCAAGACGCACTTTGACTCTGCCCCAGGTTGGTTATCTTGTAATCATATGATGACATGTCAATTTTTAGTGTATAAGGCCCTTTAGATTAGTTTGATTATCCGTGTGAGTTGTTCTGGGAAAAAGAAACTCAAACCCAGATTTATTAATAAAAAAAATCAAGAATATGGTCAAAAGTCTCTAATAAAAAGGGGAAAAAATATTAAAGAAAAAATAGTCTAACAAATATGAAATGTCTCATGATCACGGCTTTGATGTTTTGTGAATTCATTTCGTGTACAAAATAGATTGTCTCACTTAAGACAATCAAATTTGTAAGGAGAGGTGTGAATAATGTAATGCTTTTATAGTTGTTCCACCTTACTAAATCTTCGAGTTGTCCCCCTTCTTATTCTGGTTCGAACATCAAAGGTACAGGATCTCCTACTTCGCATCCACCAATTGTGGGCGTTGCGCTTCATCTATATTCATGTTGGAGTATCAGAGCTCCAGGGAATCAAGATGCGAGATAGAGAATAACTTCCTGGCATGGACGAGTGGCTGAATGGGGCAGGAGAGTATATAGATTTTAGATATGTAAATACATAAAAAATAGTGTGGTACTTGTGTAAATTTTCCTATATTTTTAATGAATACCGAGTATGTATGTAAATGCCCTCTAAAAGCCTGGGTTGTAGGTAACTTATAGAGGATGGTTGTTTGTCATCATTGACATTCCACCTCTAACTGCCTGACGTTGCCGCCCGCCGCTGTCCGCCACAAGCTTTCAACTATCAGTCGCCGCCATAGTCCTTTGCATGGCCTCCATCATCAACCATAACTATGCTTCCTCTGTCGTTCGGCCATATGTCAGTTGTCTGCCTTCCACCATCCAGTCTTCTGCCAGACATCAACAGCTACTGCCGGCAGTCCGAAACCGCTGCCTACTACCCGACGCTACAGTCAGCCGATTGTCGCCGCCCCTACAGTTTGCTACCGTCGGTCGATGTCGACAAAATAAAAAAAACTTTGAAATATATTATTTTCAATCTACTTCAAACCAAACAAAAAATAAAAAATAATATATGTATTTTTTAGAGTGAATGAATCAACTATAAAGTACTTCAAATACATTGTAATCAGATTACTCTGCAAATATTTTATATTGCATTTTATTTTCAACAAACCAAACAACCCCTTAGGTTCATATGATATTCTTATTTAGATTTGGAGAGTTATGGGTAATATAGCAAAGATAAAATTAACAAATCTTCCCAATTACTTTTTGAAGTAAGAGTAAAGTGAATTATTAGAGGAAAAAGCATTTTTGTACCATTTTATAAACTCAAAAGAAATGCTCAAGGTTGTGTTATTGATAGAAGAATCAACTTTAAGAGATATAAAATGAAGTAATAGGAGTGAAATCAAGCATGGACTTTAAAAATGACAGCAATTTGAAGAATCAATCTAATTCATGCCAAAAAGATTTACTATAAAACAATTTTTTCATAAGATGATTGATGAAATGTCCAGAATAGAGAAAAGATATTCACAAGGATTTCATTGGTCTTCAACGGATACAAGAAATCATTTAATATGCATTAAAAAAAATGACTCAAAGATATGTTGAAGTTATTGAAGATTTATAGACTTGTATTATAAGTAATTGTAGAATAAAAAAAAAATCTAATTATACTAGAATTACATCAATAATCAATATTGAATTTATGCTTTTTTATATCGATTATAGAGATGCTTAAAATGATATTCAAAGTGAGGCATCTTGGTGTATGCATTACGTAGATGAAAATTTTGAATTTGTGATAAAAATAAATAAAAATTAGAATGGAAAAATGTTTTAGAAAAAGTGTTTAGAATTAGTAAAATAAGGCCCAAGTATATGATACAAAGCTTTACAACTTTAGTAGGTGTACTTTTAGTAATTATAAGTCAATGCTAACAGAAGATAACCTGATACCAAGTTGTGATATATCTGAGTGCAGTGGATCGATTTTATAAACAATGGGAAAATATATGAGAATATGACTTAAAAAATTAAGGTTGGGTGATTAAAACTTCTTACAGGTGCTATGCAAGAAGAGGATGTCATAAAGAGTTTATAGTAAAATTTATAAAATCATAATTAGATAGGCTATACTATATGGATCTAAGATTGAGTAATAAAAAAATTTTCATAGCTAAGTTGAGTATGGTGAAAATGAAAATGTTAAAACGGAGTTATAGTAAAACTACAAGAGATAATTTAAAGAATAATTATATCTGATGAACAATTAGAGTGACATCTTTTGGAGATAAAATTAGTTGACAATAAATTTAGGTGGTTGGGATCTGTATAGAAAATAGAATAAAGGTATTAAAAAAAAGTAGGGAAGGCCTAACAACCTAAGATCTATGAATTGAAGTTGTTCAAATTATTTGTCAATAAAATGTAAACAGCTCCAGTCTCGACATGAATGAGTAAAATTTCACGCATAAAGTTGACTGCATGTATTTGGAATAAGAATAATGATCTTGATAATGTTGAGTTAAATGTGATCTCCACAATAATAAAGCGTTGTGGAAAGGGCATACCTTAGGGGAAAGTATACGAACTTTTAAAATAAGAAAGCCCACTTACAAGTTTTAGCCTTTAAGCTGACTGTCACAAAACATTGGTATAACAAAAAGCCTTCTTAATAGAAAAAAAAGAATTTTTATTTCCTATTTATGGAAGCAAAAATTCAATTGCAAAGCTTAAGCCAACATTTGCATGTTGGCCATGCTAAGGTGACTTGAAGCGATTTAAAGAACCATCACTAATGCTAGCCACAACGCTTCATGGTTAATATTCAAGTTAATATTTGTTAAGGCAAGTGAATGGGAAGTAAAAGTGACCCGCAGATGAGGGTTCCACATTTAGTCAAGTTCAGATGTCCCAATGATAACTGGAGTTATGACCTAAACCAGTTCAATAGATAAATCAGGCTGATCCATTAGCCCATCCAACCCTGTTTAAATGCCTTGGAAATCTTCTAATTCATTTGATTGAATCACGGTGGCTGTTCTAAAATGGATAATTCCAATCCCAAAGCTTGAATATCCCAATATGTGTAATTAGTGCAGCATTTGTAATATAAGAGAATCCGAAAATAATACATATATATGTATACAAGGAGCGGAAACAATGGTACAGTTGTTGGATCTAGACAAATAAGATAACGAAAGTTCATGAAAGTAGGTATAAAAGTTATATAGATATTCTTTAATAGTCTAAGTAACAACATATCCAAAAACTATGGAAGGAACAAAATCACAAAATGACATAGCAAAGATATCCTACCAATATATGTTGTTGTTGATATGATTGCAATTCTTAATAAAATGATAAAAAAAAGTTAACTGATATACATATTTATTCAAAATTCTTGCTCAACATATGGCATTCATACCTTGACTTGATTCTGAGAAAACACACATGGGAACAAAATCTTTGAACATGTTTAAGGAATAGCTCTTGGGTGTATTGACACCATCTTTCTGAGCCAACTCCATCTTGAACTGCCATCTCATAATCATAAATTGTAGCAGAAAAGGTGTTAGACATGGGAAAAAATAAGTAAAGGAAGCTACATATATAATTATTCTTCTAAGATCCTGTCAGCTAGGTTAACAAGGGTTACGAATATAAATAAACCAGCAGATTCCATATTTTCTAGCAAATCATAAGGATTTGCATGCTGTTTACAGTTATCAAGAACTTTTCAATGACACTACTTAGCCAGTGGTAGCTCTCCATAATTAATCATATGATGATAGAGATTAAGGGATATCAACATAAAAATAAGTAAAGTGTTTGGATATATTAAACTGTAGACCTTCCAGTTCTTATGTTTGATCATATGAGACTGAGAAGTAAGGGCATGTTTGGTTATGTTGTATTTTCCTTTTTTTTTTTCCTTTTGTTTCAGAACAGAAATACTTATATTAGAAAACATGTTTGGTAAGTTGTTTCTATTTTTCTTTTATTTTATTTTATTTTATCTTTCGTTATGGAAACAAATTAATGTGTTTTTAAAAATTTTGAAAACACCATATGAAGTGTTTCGCTTATTTTCAAACCACCTATCATAAAAGTTCCATATTTCTATTTTAAGTAAAAAAATTAAGGGGAAAAAACAAAAACAAATATGAGCAGGAGACATGTTGCCCGGCAATGAACTTGGCATAAACCTTTTGATACCATAAATTCTCAATTATTGTCCTGTGAAGAAATCAGCCAATAGTCGTGAAGGCTAATACTTAAAATTTTGATGCAATTGCATGGGAAATTTATTGTTAAAATATTTCTTGTGATTTAAACTTCCTTAGCAGACATTTTTATAGCAGCAATAAGTAAAACCTGTACAAAACTTCTATGATGATTTTCTAGGTTTTCCCAGAGAATTCTATTGAGATCATAGTAAATGAAATCTAATATGGAAGTAAAATATTAGAGAATATCATATTAAATGCAGCTGAGATGAGGAAAATAATTACAGACATAAACTAAGAGTCAGACTTCATTCATGTACCAAAAAAACAAAATAATGACGACAAAAAATCTGTCGCGGACAAAAGTAATGGAGGTCAGAAGAAATAAAAAATGGTGTTATCCTTGCTGTTAGAACAACTGAATGTCAATAAAATTCCAAATATAACATGGGAATAAATAGTTGGATAAGGTTTATACACATTGTGTATTGGGAAGTGTCAATCCGCATTAGGAAGGAATTTATTTCTTTTAGGCGAAAAAAAAAATAAATTCACTGATTGTGTTTCCTTTATTAGGAATTTCATTTTCTTGTTTTTTCTTATTTTAGGGGATTCTTATTTGATTTCCTTTCAACATTATATATATAGCAAGGAGCAATGCATGGTTTGAGAGAAATAAAATTCCTTCAAGAATTCTACATGATATTAGAACCCTAACATCGATTTCATTGGGCTGCAGCCATAGTCCTTACCGTCAACGAGGGCAGATTCATAGAAACCTCCGAAGCTATTGTTCGATGACATCCTTGCGTACGCACGCTTACTGTTTCCTCTTTGGCGTGTCATAGTGCTCGTCCATGCTCGTGCGTTCTACCCGAACACCTCGATCAACCATCCACTCTGTTGGAACACCACGCCGTTTGATCCTTCCGTTCGACGAGATTGCAGAAGCACCTCCTCTCATAAGCACGAGTCAATTATTATCATCCAAGATGAAGATCTTTTGGGCATTATCCTTCCTCAACACTGGTGTCATATGAATCCTTCTGTTCTTGCATCACAGATCTGTTTGAATTGTTCAATTTCAAAAAATTAGCTAGTCTTCTCATCCTCTCATGACATTGTCATTGTTGCGGCTAGCAAACAATTTAGCTTGCCCTAGCCTCGACCCGATGAGTCGTTGGCTTGCAAACAGCCCCACCTCTCACCAAGAGCCAAACACTTGGAAACCGAGAGTTGTGCATCTCCCTCTAGTTCCTCTTCACTCGTCCAACAATTGATTTTCTCAATTCGAGTTTCACAATTTTATCATGGTCAAACACTGCATGGCATCACAACCCTCTTCCTCGGAAGTTACCTATTGATCCAAACCTGTCTTCAATCCCTACCATACTTGAAAACACCTCCTGCATATTCACAAACCATAAACTGCATGAACATAATTTACTTCAATGGCCATAATCCTCTTCATGTATATTTGTATCAGAGGGAAAGAACATCACACCGACGAAATTTCAACTCCATAAATGACTGATTCAAATTATCAGACCTGGAAAACTAATGACAACATGGTTATGTCATGGTTAATAAATTTCATGACCACAGAGGATGGAGAAAACTTTGTACTTTATAGAACAAAAAAAGAGATATTGGAGGTTGCATGTGAAAAAATACTCTAGCAATGAAAAACTCCTCAGAGCTATTTGAGATTGAAACCAGATGATCTACGACAAGAAGAATTGCTTGTTATTTAATATTTCAAGACTCGTTGTTGGTTGTAACTGGATATGTACGAGATTCATTCCTGGAAATGCCCTGGTGAATTTGTCTTGTATAGAATTATTGAACAAAAAAGAGCCATAAAATTCCTCCTTGGAGTAAAAAAAGATTTAGATGAAGTTCAGAGGAGAATCATGGGAAATTGGGAATTAAACCAAACCCTGCCACTTGGGAAGCCTTCAAAAGGACGAGTTCAAAAAGAAGTTGATGTGACATACAATCATACCACACAATCAGTTGAAAGATATGTTTTGTATACTCAAAATTCTTCTTAAAGCAACAAGTCCAAAAAGGGACGACCATGGTGAGGCCATTATAAAAAACGTGGTCATGTGATGGAAAAATGTTGGAAATTAGTAAACCAACAAATTGAAAAATATCTACTGGAAGATATGATAGGCAAAATCGTGCAAATGCTAATGTCACAACCAATAACAATGCAAAAATTAGTCCATTTACCAGGGAGCAAATTGAGACAGTGCAGAAAATATTAGGTCACGGTTATAGCTTTGGACAAGTACCACAAACCTTTACGGAGCAACCGATCAGTTTGTTGGCACACCAAGATACTTTACCCCATTCTCTTGTTGTTCAAAGCAATAAACTAAAATTTTGGACAGTTAACTCGGGAGCTTCAGATCATATGAAAGGAGATACAAATGTCTTCAAAAATTACAAGCATCACTCTGCAGTTCAAACAGTTGTTCGTTGATTCTCTTCAGTAGTAGGAACTGGATCAGTTGAATTGACAAAGGATCTTCACTCTAATATGTTTTTTCTGTTTCAAAATTAGACTACAATCTACCCACAATCAGCAAACGTAAACATAACTTAAAATGAGCAGCAAAATTTAATTCTATTTTTTTGTGAATTCAGGTAGTGGAATCAGACAAGGCGATTGGCAGTGTTGAGACGCATTGTGGTATTTATATACTCAAAAAATAATCACATTGGTAAATAAGTTCATCCATCAAGTTGTATTTCTAAGTATAGTTCTATTAATCTAGTTTTTAATTACAATGTTGTTTTAAAGTTTGTTTGAGACAGCTACATTTGTTTAAAGAAATAGCTATAAAGCAGCTAAAGAAATTGTTGCTTAAAAAATTGTGGCGGTTATTATAGAAAATTTTTAAAAAAATAAGGCCGCAACTTTCTAGCAGCCACCGCGAGTAGCTGAATCTGGTGGGACAACGCGGCCTTCAGCTGCACTTTTTTTAGAACGCAGGTAAAACTTAATTTTGTCAAATAAAAAAAATGTGGTGTGACATTGCACCGCCACCGAACCACCTCCCCAAACGCACCCTTAGTTGAAAGTCAAGCGTGTTAAGCCATTGTCGCCTTGGTCATCCAAAATTTGATTAAATTGAAAAAAAAAATTTACATTTCTTTATCAATAAAAAATTTCATTTCTATCAATGTGAAATGTGTTAACTTGCAAAACATACCATACATGTATATTCAAAAGTACAATACAAGACTTCACATCCTCTTGCTATAATTAATAGTGATATTTGGAGACCATCTCAAGTAAACTAGACATGATCATTCTGAATTCATAGATGATCATATTAGAATGACTTGGACATTCCTTATGAAAGAAAAATCTAAAACTGCCATCATATTTCAATCCTTCACTCAATGATAGTTACTCAAATCCAAAGCAAAATTCAAGTTCTTAAAATTGATAATGCTAAGGAATATTATAATTCCACTCTTCATTCTTATCTTTCCAAGCATGGTATCATCCATATAAGTTCTTGAGTGGACACTCCTAAGAAAATGGGATCGCTCAGAGGAAGACCAGAATTTTACTTAAGGTGGCTCATGCCATTATGATCCTTAATCATGTGCCTAAACATTTGTTCGGAGAAGTTATACTCACAATCACATATCTCATCAATAGAATGCCTAGTCGTGTCCTAAAATTTCAAATCACTCTTAATATTCACATGGAATCTTAACCACAAATTCACTCTTTTCTTCTAACTTACCATTGAATCTCTTTGGTTGTTCCACCTTTGTTCACATCCATCAACAACACCACACCAAACTCAATCCCAAATCTCTTATTTGTATCTTCATCGGTTACTCCTCCAACCAAAAAGGACTAAGAAAATGCACAACATCATGAATGCCACATTATTTGAGAATCAATATTACATTCCCAGTTTTGAATATAAGGAGGAATAATCAAGAATATCAAATTTGGGATCTTCTCAAAGACACTCAAATTGAATCAAACCCTATCACTCAAACAACTAAATCAAATCCTAACACTCAACCAGCTCCACTTCAAGAACAAAACTCTATCGCTAAAAATGTCCCAAGTGTCTCTACTCCACATTAACTTGCACCAGTGATCAAGAACTTCGTGGCAATACAAGAAGGAAAAAGACCATTGAGCATGTAGAGAGCCTAAACAAAGTCCTCCTATACCTGATAATCATAATTATATATATTATTTATCTCATGTACAAAGGTTCACCGATCATCCAATCAAAACATATGCAGCTTATGGAAATTTGTTA